ATCACTGCTACAGTAAGATGGGCAGCATATATACATTTGACAACAAATAAAAAAAAATAAAGTTTATTGCAACTAACCATTGGTTTATGCAAATTTCACAGAATAGCATAATTAGGATTAAATATGCTGAAAAGCCCAAGTCTTCACATAATATCTATTATCTTTTATAGCATATTTTCCCATCTAATGGCCTTCAGATGCATTCCAATTACAACTTACAGAACTTTAAGCCAATAAAATAGCAATGCTGGTTTGAAATTGTTGTGTATATGCATTTATTTGTAAATGGTCACAGAGCATAGAGGAGAAAAAAGAAAACAGGTTTACAATAAATACAAGAATTTTTTTTAAAAAAAATAGCATACAAGCAGCAGCATTTAGAGTGCAACAAAAGTCAGTATAATGTGCAGGTCTTAATTTGGCAATTATGAAAGGTGTCTATGCATAAACTAGTGGGATGACCTGAAGCAAAGTAGTCAACAGTTGTCGGAGAGATGACAATGAAAGAACCTAGGCTTAGCTGGTTGTTAAGCAAATCCACTTGTTTCTAATAGCTATAGCTGAAAATTTTGCAACTTCGGATGTTTTGGTGAAGGAATCTTGCAGCAGCTGATCTATAATTGCTGAGTTGATAGGTGGGAATTTTTTCTAAAAAGTGGTTTGATGAGTTCACAGCACTAATCATGATATATTTATTATTTGTAATGATTATTATGTGAGATCATCTGCCGTCATAGGATGAAGTATCATCAATATGCTAATGATACTCAATTATATATCTCCATCCCAGGTGAGGTAAGTGATGCCGTGACCGCCCTTTCGCTGGAGGCTGCGAGGGTCTGGATGGGGAACAACAGGCTTCAGCTGAACCCTGGTAAGACAGAATGGCTGTGGGTTAATGGCTCCTCTGTATCCAGGACGTTGTCATCTTTGGTGCTGGATGGGGTAGCACTGCCCCAAACAGACCCAGTGCGTAATCTGGGGGTTCTCCTGGACTCATGGCTCCTGCTCGAAGAGCAGATGGCAGCAGTGGCCAGGAGGGCCTTTGCACAACTTTGGGTTGTGCAATAGTTACGTGCTTTCCTGGATCGGGATGCCCTTCGAACGGTCACTCATGCCCTTGTTATCTCTCATATAGACTACTGCAATGTGCTCTACATGGGGCTATCCTTGAAGAGTATCCGGAATCTATAGCTGGTCCAGAATGCAGCCGCGCGGGCTATTTTTGGAGCCCCAAGAAGGGCCCATGTAACACCCTTGCTCCGTGAGCTGCATTGGGTACCAGTCTATTTACCAATTCAAGGTGTTGGTTATCACCTTTAAAGCCCTACATGGCATGGGACCAGGTTACCTAAAGGACCACCTGTTCCCCATGACTTCAACCCATCCCACCCGATCACACAGAGAGGGTATGCTTTGGACCCCCTTGGTAAAAGAGCTCTGATTAGTGGAGCTCAGAAGATGGGCCTTCTCGGCTGTGGCCCCCGCCCTTTGGAACATCCTGCCCCTGGAGGTGAGATTGGCCACCTCACTCCTGGCCTTCCAGAGGCACTTGAAGACCTGGGTCTGCCACTCAGCTTGTGTGTGGGGATGGCTAGTCCCTTAGAAGCCCTTCATCTCCAGCCTGGGAAACCATCTCCCTCTTGGACTTTTTCCTGGTAATGTCTTGTACAGTTTTTTTGTACAGTTTTTATGTTTTTTCTAATTTTATATGTATTTATTATTTTAATGGACTGTGTGAGCCACCCAGTGTCCCTCTGTCACTCTGTATCTTGTCTGAGGCCTGCCTGAGACTTTGCTATCTTAAATTCTGGCTAAAACAATTATTCTGGAGTAAGTCCTTCACCCAGATTGGATAGTTCTATTTCGTCCTTGAAAAAAAGCAAATAGACTTGGATTGCAGGCTATCTCTCCCAGCTGTACATTTACGGCCTATGTAGAGCTGTGGCAGAGCTTAAGTAGACAGTTTTGGACCTTGATGTCCCAAAAGATAGATAAAAAATTTGTCTCTCTGCTACCATGAGTTCCTGTATGTCCCTTTTACACACTCATACACACACACATTAATGATACCCTTTATGACCCACAAAGAAGGCACAACTTGACACCCTGACCTCAGTGGTCACTACAGATGGATATCATAATATTCCTTATCAGAATCATCTTTATATGTACTCAAACAACAAGATTGAGTCTGTGGTATACTTGTTGCTAGACTGTCCTTTGTTATTTATTTATTTATTTATTTATTTATTTATCTACCTACCTACCTACCTACCTCCACCCATCTGTGGCAGAGATCCAAGTGACAGACCCAAGTGACAGAGGGTCTCTGCCACTAAGCAAAGAACATGGAGAATGGCCTTAAGAAAATTAGATTGAATTACTTCCAAAATAGAAATGTTATCCTAATTTTATGTATTTCCAGCACATCTAGAGGGTGTACATTGGAGAAATGGTGTTAGCAAACTACTTAATATACTCTTTTGTTCTAAAATCAGTCATAACATTGATAAATATTATATGAATCTTACTATATATTTGTGTATGGCAAAAGTATGTGAACCTTTGCTTTCAGTCACTGATATGCCCACCCTTGATCAGCAATAACTGCAACTAGACATTCTGATAACTGTTGATTAGTCCTGTGCATCGGCTTGGAAGATTTTAGCCCATTCCTCCTTACAGAACAGCTTCAACTCAAAGATGTTGATGGGCTTCCTCGCAGTTCACAACATTCCTATAGGATTAAGGTCAGGGCTTTGACTTGGTAATTCCAAAACATCAACTTTCTTCTGCTTTAACCATTCTTTGGTCATTTTGCATCATTGTCTTCCTGCATGACCCACTTTCTCTTGAGTTTCAGTTCATGGACAGATACCTTGACATTTTCCACTGGAGTTTGCTGGTATATTTCAAAATTCATAGTTCCATCAATGATGGCAAGCCTTCCTGGTCCAGGGGCAGCAAGGCAGGCCCAAACCATGATATAGCCACAACCATTTTTCACAGATGGGATAAGGTCCTTGTACTAGAATTCAGTGTTTGCCTTTTGCCAAACATCTTGCTGTGTGTGTGTGTTTTGGTCAGGCAGCCTTTAACAACAAATGGATGAAATTCTGGCTGAACAGCATTAAAAAAAAAAAAAATGGCCAATTATAGTCAATTAGCAAAACACGTTTGGCTCTAGTTTGCTATGTTGTCTGATTCTAAACCAGTGGGTAAATTGGCTACTCGAGGTTAGCACCAGACTTTGTTTGGCATGTTTTGTGTACATAGTCATAGTCTCTTGTCTATTGACTGATAACATTTTTCTTGTCTTCCTTTCTTGTCCGGTTCAAGGTTTACAGTCGTTCCTTGATAGCAAGATCACCACTCCTGAAGCAGAGATTCATAATTTCTTGCAGCTTTTTTGCTCTCTGCAATTCTTATGGATAAAGCAGAACTTCTGGCATTTATGTATACATCCATTCCCTTTTTTCATTCTGAGATAGCTTCAGCAGTTGACAGCTTCATTATAAGTATCTGATACACATAGAGAAGACAATTTATAAATCAGGAAGAGCAATCTGTAAACCAAGGCATGGCTAAGTGTTTAGATATGCTGGAAGTATAGTGCTCAAAATTTATGGTAGTATTCGATCTTTAGTAGTATCTAGACAACATCTGGTATGACCTTATCCTGAATCCCATATACTGGTAATTAATAATTATAGTAAAATCAATAGTGCAAATAAACATCTAAAGAAAATTAACTATTTTCTGAAATGAACTAGCAATTCCTAGTATACTTCAAATTTCACATACTGAATTTTGTATTCTTTTGTTTCGGTTCTGCATTAAGATGGGTTCTGCACAGTACTATAATATCCTTATTTCAGTATCCTTATCTGTCTTATTTTATCTCATCTAGTATAATCTCTCATTATTATTTGTTTTCTGTATTTTAAAAATACATATGCTTATGTATTTGACAATCTCCTAAGCGAGTGATGAAGTGGGCTTTGGCCTACAAGCTGATGCCACCATAAATTTGTTGATCATTAAGGTACCTCAGAACTCTTTGTTTCTATTGTTATATTTGATGGCACAGTGCTGCAAATAACTTGCTAAAAAGAACATTAAGCGGAACAAAAGCTTATGAATCTATCAATACTAGCACCATAGCACATTCTTTTTTGCCTGATCCAATTTTCATTTCAGCTAGATGGAAATTGAGTTTCATAGTGATTAAAATTGTAGCTGGTGGAAATATGGAAGAAGAAAACTCTATTTCAGGCTGCTATATTCTCTGCTTCAAGGGAGTTGTTCCTTGTAAAAGAATGATATTAGATATTCTGGTCTCTTTTTAAGCAGATAATTAATTCCTTGCATATTCCAGATGCTTACTTTTAATCTTCCCATTACTTATATTTCATGCATCATATTTCAGATAGAATCAATCTTTCCCACACTGTTCTACTTACTTTGACACTTTTTCATTTGAATAAGAATTGTACTTCAGACTGTATTGTCTTTCAAAGAACGGGATAGACATATATTTGCATTCCAGATCAGAATGAGAAAGGAATCCCAATCCAGCTATATATGTA